TGTTAGCCAGGGCCTCAGTCTCATCAGAGGCTCGACTGGAGAAGACTCCACATCCAAGCTTATGTGATCATTGGTGGGATTGGGTTCCTTGAGGACTGTTGGACTGAGGGCCTCAATTCTTTTCTGGCTGTTAGCTGGAGACCACCCTTAGTTCCTTGCCATGTGGGCCACAGCATCATGCAGCTAGCTTCAGCAGAACCAGCAAGGGGGAGATTTGGCTGGCAAGACAAAAGTGACAGTCGTGAATACAGGTCGAGCATCCCCAATCCCAAACCTTTTGAGTACTGCCATGATGCCACAAGTGGAAAATGCCACGGCCGACCTCATGTGATGAGTTGCAGTCTAAATGCTGCAATAAAAAATAGTGAATCTGGGGACAGCAGATGGCGTAATGGTTACATCACTGGACTCCCATGAGTTGACTGTGGTTTGAGTTCCAGACCCAGCAACTTAAAACTCATGATGGGGGACCAGCAGGTGGCATGGTGGTTAAGGCACTGGACACTCCCACATGGCTGGCACTGGACACTCCCACATGGCTGACCACATGCTTTTTCACTTTCTTCTCTCTGTGTGTGTGTGTGTGTGTGTGTGTGTGTGTGTGTGTGTGTGTGTGTGTTGTTCTGGTCAAATTAAAATAAATGAATAAATAGGGACCAGCAGGTGGTTTGGTGGTTGTTTGAGTCCCGGACCTGACGGCTTGCTTTCTCACTTACCCTCTATGTCTTTCTCTCTCTCTCTCTCTTTCTCTGTGTCTCTCTCTGATCAAATTAAAATAAATGAATAAATTAAATAAAATAAATAATTCTATAAAAAGAAAATACTTTAAAAAATAAATGAATAAGTAACATTAAATAAATAATTCTTTAAAAAGAAAAATCTCACACCTGGTGAGAGTGCGTGTGCGTGTGTGTGTGTGTGTGTGTGTGAGTGCCCAAAGTCCCGAGAGGAGAATAGAGGAGAAGGGAGTGACGCGTGGCCATCCCCCTTCTCACTTTCTGTCTCTCTCTCTGGTGAGCTCATGCACCCTAAGCAAAAATCTCTCCAAAGAAGAAATATGGTGAATCAAATTACCTTCAGGCTATGTATATAAGGTATATATTAAACATGCACAAATCTTGTGTTTAGATTGGATCCCATCCCCCAAGATATCTCACTTTATATACAAATTTCAAAAATCTAAAAATATCCAGAATCCGAAAGACTTTCTGCCCTAAGCATTTTGGATAAGGAACATTCCACTTGTGCCAGAGTCATAAAAGTGGATTCCCATACGCTGTGATATATGCTGCAGGTGAGCAGGAAGTCACAGGTTCTGCCCATGCTCGGCAGGAGGGATTTATAAAGTAGGCAAGGATAATGGGGGGGGGGCACCCTAGCAACTGTCTGCCACACACCCTGAATGGGTGTCACCAAGCAAGTCAGCCTGTCATAGGCTGCTAACGTCTCTCATGTGGGAAGACTTCCATTCACCAACCCAAGAGTTTCCCATCGATGGGATCCAGAAACTCATCCAGGTGGGAAGGTTACAGACCTCCCCCTCTGTCCTCTGTCGGGCTGACCACATGTGCCATGCACTGTCATGAATAAAATAGAACAAACATTCAAAATAAACGGATTCAAGCCCCCACTCAGTTAGTTTTGTTTGTTTTGTTTTTGCTATATGGTGTATGCACTTGACAGAGGGAGAATGAGGGGGGAAAGTGAGAAATCACTTACTTGGTGGGAGGATGGCCACACTGCGATCCCTTCTTCTCCAGTTTCCTCTCAGGATTTTGGGCACACACGCACACGTGCCCAGAGTGATTTTCAAGCTGCCAAGCCCAGGACTCGAACTGTGTAGCTGGCCGTGTAAGATCTGACATCTTAACCTCCATACCACTTACCGACCCCCACTCAGTCACTTCTTTTCTGTGTCACCTCAGTTAAGTGGTATGACTTCTTTGTGCCTCAGCCTCCTCATCTGTAAAATTGGGACAAATACATTGCTTATCACACTGAGCTAAACACAAGCGGTCAATAGATCTAAGATCCCTCGGCCCTCACTACCAAAGAGAAGCGCATGGATGGTGTGTCTTAGTTTAAGTTACCAGAATGATTGGCAAAAGGCAAAAATAGCTCATTATGGAATCAGGACCCCACTCGAAGCCATATCCCCAAGCTATTCTTAACTAAGTGTCTATGCAATTCATTTTAAAACTGCCTTAAACACTTCCATGCTCCAGGTAATCCGCTGAGAGAGATAACAGATGACTAAAACATGAGCAACTTCCTCCTGGTTGGTTCCCGGCATCAGTCCTGACGGTTTCCTGGCCCAGCCCGCTACCCTCCAAGCACAAGGTCCCTCATTCCCAAGTTCAAGAACATGCATGAGAAAAGCAGTCTTTCTTTAAGTCAAAATAGGGACCAGTAGATGGCGTAATGGTTAAGTCGCTGAACTCTCATGTAGTCAATCGTGGTTTGAGTCCTGGACCTGGTGGCTTAAAACTCACACTGGGCATGGGGCGCGGGTGTGTGCATACCCAAAATCCCAAGAGGAGAACAGAGGGGAAGGTACTACCCCCTTGGGGGGGGGTGGGGGGGGCAGTGGTGATTTCTCTCTTTCTGTCTCTCTCTGTCTCTCCAGGGAGCATATACACTCTATAGCAAAAATCTCTCTTGGGACCAGCAGTTAGCGTAATGGCTCTGTCGCTGGACTCCCATGTACTCGACTGCAGTTCAAGTCCCGGACCTGGTGGCTTAAACTCACACTGGGCGCGTGTATGTGTGTGCTTAAGATGCCGAGAGGAGAATGGAGGAGAAGGGATTGTGGCATGGCCATCCCCCTGGGGGTGATTTCTCGCTTTCTGTCTCTCTGTCTCTCTCTGTCTGTCTGGCGAGTGCACACACCATATAGCAAAAACCTCTCTGAAAAAAAAAATCTCTCTCTCAAAAAAACAATATAAATACACACATATAAAATGAAAGGTTTGGTATGTGCAGAGCATATCCACAAAGTGTAAAGAATGATGAACATCCACGTGCCAAGAGCCTGGTGTAAGACACCAATACCTCCCAAGAAGACCCTGACAAGTAGGGCACCCCAACAATTAATTATATGCCCCTCCCTCCCAGTTGTAGCCTTGAGCAAGAGGGTTCCACCTGGTGCCCCCAGGACTAACACGGCCATCTTCAGGGCTAGCACGTCCTCCGTGTAAGTGCGGGGATCAGCCCAAAGGTGAGAGTGGCAATCCAAGGTAAGAGGTGCAGGGGTGCAGGAACGAGAGAGGAGAGATGTGAAGTGGGAAACACGAGGCCAGGATGAGCAGGGCACACAGCTGCGTCGCCAGGCGAGTGTGAAATGGGACCAGGCTTGTACTACCCTCCGCCGGCCCCGAGGCACTGCAGCTTTTACGGTCTGTGACTTGGGGCTAGAGAATTCCCGGATAACCAGGAGCTCTGTTTTCAGAACCAGACCTTTAGACAAGGCTCCCCACCTACCTGGAGACCTCCTCCCTCCCCCCACTGACCCCCTTTCTCAACAACTCATGGATCAAAGTATTCATTCCATTTCACACTGGATAAAACCCCATGAAGTGGAGAATCCATCGGGTCGGGTCGGTAAGCTTCCTCGTTTAAGAGAGCCTTTCGACGTCGTTCACACTCTGCTAGAATTGGCCCAGATGGTTGTCTCCATGACAGCTGGTTTCAACCCTCTTATAAATGCCTGGATGAGTCAGGTCCAGGTGGGATCTCAGAGGAGGAGAGGAGCAGTAAAAAGACAGGAAAGGAGAAAAACAGATTCACCAGCCAAACGCGGCCTGTTTCAAGTTTGCTTCCTCCAAGAAAGGAAGGCCTCATTCTTCCACTCGCACCTCCCCCTCCCCCTGTGAACTGCATTTACTACTATCCCAGCCTCAGTCCAACTTCCATGAGAAATCCCACAGGCTAGACACCCAGCCACCCCGTATAATGGCATTTACATCGGGAGACGTGTCCTGACCTACAGCAGTGCACTTTGTGTTAGTAGCTCTAGTGACTTGACCGTTTGCTAAACCAGGAAGCTGCTCTAAGAACATCGGTCATCAGACCAGCGGGTGGCACGGAGGTTACAGCAGCTAGATCCCACACTGCCAACTGAGCAGTTCGAATCCCAAACCCAGCAACTTGAAAATTACACTGGGCACGTGTGCATGCATGTTCAACCCCGAAAGAATGGAGGAGAAGGGATTGTGAAATGGCCATCCACTCTGGGAGGTGATTTTTTTTTTTCTTTTTTTGGAGAGGTTTTTGCTATAGGGCGCGTGCACTCACCAGAAAGAGAGAGAGAGAGACAGAGAAACAGAAAGCAAGAAATCACCCCCCAGGGTGGATGGCCATGCCGCAATCCCTTCTCCTCCATTCTCCTCTCGGGATCTTGGGCACACATGCACACGCACCTGGCGTGAGTTTAAGCCACCGGGTCCGGGACGCGAACCACAGTCGACAACATGGGAGTCCAGCGACATAGCCATTGTGCCAACTGCTGGTCCCTGGGAGGTGATTTCTCACTCCTCGACATACCCCTTGCCTCTCTATCTCTGGCGAGCACATGTACCCTATACCAAAAACAGTCATCTGTCCTATTAGGACAAATTAGGGTACACTGAGTTCCTTTTCACTTGTTCAGTCTTGTGTTAATTGTACTTTTAACCAAATTCACGCAAGCACTCAGTTTTGTCAAGTTTTCACGCAGGTCCTTCTCATTACTTAAGAAAGAAGCCACTGCTCCATCGCCCAATGGCTCACATCCCCTCTGGTCCATCCCTGCAGCGGAGTATGGGTTACAGCGGAAAGCTACTCAGCTGGAAACTTGTCAGCGCGTGGCTCGGGTGGGGCAATCTTATCAGGAACATTCTGTTTGGGGTTAGACTGTGGCTGACATTGGAGGCTGGTACGGTGGATGGTGAGGACGTGGACCATATATAAGGAGCAGCCCTGCTGCCACTCCACATCATCCACTCGCCTTGCCTTCTCCCCAGCCTGGGACCAGAAGGAACCATGAAGTGGCTGCTGTTGCTCAGCCTGGTGGCGCTCTCGGAGTGCCTCATCAAGTGAGTCCAGGGCCACATGCTGCCTGAAGGGTGGTTTCCAGGGGCGCTCTCCTCCCTGCTGCATCTCACACCTCCTTCCTTCCCTCCCCTATTTTCTTCCTCCCTCACAACACTCCTGTCTCTCTTCGACCATCTCCTTCTTACCTCTCTTGCTGCCTACTGCAGGGACAGCGCTGCAGACCTGAGCAGAAGGGCTGGCCCGGGGGCCCGGCCCGGCGTGGGTTCCCAGCTCCGTTGTCCCCAGCACCCGCTTCACCTCCTTGCATTAACAGGCAGGAAATGGGAGCCTCTCTCTCTTCCTTGCTTCTTTCTCTCTGGGAGCTCTGTTTCTTCCTGGGGCTTCCGCAACATCCCAGAAACAGAATCCTTGCCTAATCCCTTCTTCCTGCTAAGCCACGCATTTTCAAATACTCTGCCACAGGGTCCCCCTCACCAGAAAGAAGTCCTTGAGGAAGACCCTGATTGAGCATGGCTTGCTGGAGGAATACCTGAAGAAGCACACCCTCAACCCAGCCAGCAAGTACTTCCCCAAAGAAGCTGCCACCATGGTGTCCACCCAGCCCCTGGAGAACTACCTGGATGTGAGTGCGGGGAGCAGATGGCGGGGAGGGTCCAAACTCAGCCAATCCCAGAGGTGTTGGAGGATGGGCCAGGGCTCTGAGCATCCCGGCAGGAACTCAGGAAAGCTCACTGGGAGCTGTCGCTCTCCTTCATTCATTGGCTCACTCTTTCAGTGTTAATTTAGAAGGAAAACCCGCTAGGTCGGGCCCTCTGCTGGGCTCCGGGGATACACAGGGAGCAGAGGTACTGTTTAGAGCTCAAGGTCTAGAACAGAGAGAGGCGCTCGTCACTGAGCCCCACAAACCAGTGGAAAGAGCACCCAGGAGGGGCACCGCCAAGCGAAGGTGGCAGGCTGTGAGAGTGTGGGATGTGACCGCCAGGGAGGCCCCCCTGAAGCAATAAAGGAAGAGCAGGAGGAGAGAGGAGAGAGAATTCCACAGAGCAAGATGGCTTGGGCCAAACACTGCAGCAGGAGGGAGCCCAGTGCCTTTGTGAGAAGGGCCCATGCATGGAGGGCCTTACCCATGACAAGGTAAGGCCTCAGGGAGTGAAGGGCAGAGCCAGACACAGGCCAGGAACAGACACGGAAATGGTCTACTCTAATTGCCACAGATTCATCTTGTACAGAAGGAGCTGACACGATCAGACGTGAGTTTCAGGAAGACCCCTCAGACTTGTGTTAGACTCAGTTGGAAGGCCCAGTCTTCCAAGGCCCCGGATGTTGTGGGCCTCTCTGTGAAGTGAACGCACTGAGTCAGGGGTACAAAGCAATGTTGTCTGAGATTTGCCAGACCTGGGGCAAAGGTGGGCCCTAAGGCTTGTGAGCCATGTGAGCTTGAGAAAGTCATTTAAATTCTTCGAGGTTCAGTCTCCTCTTCTGAAAAACAAACCCACTCTCCACCATCATCAGGAGGTGGAAGTAATGAACACAGTAAGGAATCCGCAGTGTTTAGCATACAGCCTGGCCCTGGGTGAGGGCTCAGGAAACATTACCTCCTTTATTCATTTAACAAATATTTATGAAGCACCTACTGTGTGCCAGGGCTAGGCAACTTGCTGAGAAAGCAATGACGAACAATGGAGTTTTGTTCTACAGGAAAAGACAAACCAACAGGTAGGGAAGGTGATCTCAGGTGATGACAAAAACCACAAGGAGAAATTAATTAGGCAGAGTAAGGGCAAGAGGAATGAGGGAAGAGCGATTTTGTTTCAGCTGACAGAGGCATGTTCTTTGTCAGAGATGGAGAGACAGAAAGAGAGGGAGAGAAAGAGAGAGAGAGATCTCTTCACACATGGGGACATTTGAATAAAGCTCTGAGTGCTCAGCAAGGAGGAGGCAGCCAGAGAAGGAGCTAAAACGAGCATTTTCCTAGCACAGGACTAGCAGGTGCAAAGGCCCTGGGGGGAGAATGAGCTTGTCGTCACCAAGAACAGCAAGAAAACCAGTGTGGCTGGGCAGAGCAGGCAAGGGGGACGTGCTGCTACCCAGAAGGAAAACACCGGCTATGCCTTTTCTTGGAAACTGCTCTCCACCGAGGTTAGGAAGAAGAGATTTTGACAGGTGTCCGTCTTTCGGTGACATATCTCCTAAGTCCCCATTTACTAAATGAACATTGAAGCCTTTACTTCGTTGGTGCTCTCTGTTCCACCTTGTCCTCTGGAAACACATGCCCCAGAATGGCAAGACTAAGATATACAGGCCATGGCCAGGGAGGGCAAAGCAGATCGTTGTGAGCTGCTCATGGCGCTAAGGAGAGAAGAGTCTCCAGCCAGGGGAGTGATCAAGGAAGGCTGCAAGGAGGAATGGAGGCTAGGGCTGGGCTTAGGACATGCATTGGATGGGGAGAGAACGGAACAATGGAGGAAAACCTGGGGAGGTGGACTGAGGACGCGAGCCAGAGACAGTCCCTGGGGAGGCCCCAGATGAGGGGTCCTGGTCCAGTCTGTGACCTGTGCTGTCCCGGCCCGGCAGATGGAATACTTCGGCACCATCGGCATCGGAACCCCCGCCCAGGAGTTTACTGTCATCTTTGACACCGGCTCCTCCAACCTGTGGGTGCCCTCCGTCTACTGCTCCAGTCCGGCCTGCTGTGAGTGCCCGGCCTGCCCAGCCCAGCCCTGCCCCTCCCCCCCAGCACCAGCTGACCTGGGCAACCCTCAACACTCTCGGGCGTCAAATAGTCCAGCCCCAAGCCTGTTGGAGTCACTCGGGGATTCACCCCACAGGCCTTTACCACGCACCTCATTCGGGTCAAGTGCTGGGCTCAGAAGCTCTGGGGGATAAAGGGATGAACCAGCAGAGAAGCTATTCTAAATAACCACTGCCAGGGGAGAATCGAGGGGGGCCCAAGGCGAGGCAGGCTGAGGGGTGACAGGACAGCCAGCCGGGGTAAGAGTCCCCCGTGAGACAGTGGCTCTGAGCCCTGGCAAGGCCATGCTAGAGATGAGCGATGAGCTCATTTAAGGACATGGCAACAATCCTTGATGGGTTTGCTGAGGAAAAACGGTTGGTCACTAGAAGTCATGGACAGTGTTTCGAGTTCCTTCCTCCGCCAGCGTGTGTTTCTGTTTTTGCTAAACGGCGTGTACGCTCACCTCAGGGGGACAGAGAAAGAGGGAAAGGAGGAAGGGCCCCACCCTCCTCCATCTCTCCCTCCTTTTGGGATTTTGGGCCCATACACACGTGTACCCAGCCTATTTATCAAGCTGCCGGCTCCAGGACTCCAGCGGGTCAGTCAGGTGGGATCTGCCTGCCTTAACCACTAAGCCATGGAGCCAGCGCCCCTCTCAGCTTTTACAACCTGAGGGGTATTTTTCATTGTTGTTTTGTTTTTTAATTCTTATTTATTTATTTATATGTATTATTACTAATTTTTTTTTTCATTTGCTATAGGGCACATGCGCTCACCAAAGAGAGACAGAGAGAGAGACGAAGTGAGAAAACGAGAACGCAGAACTCGAAATGTGCTCAGCACCTCAACCACACCACCGGCGAGCCCTAACCCAGTGTTCATTAAGAGGGGGCGCCCGTGGAACCATCCACGTCAGAACTGGAGATGTGGGGCCACAGGGTGTGAAGGCTCTCCTCACCATGGCGGCCATGCTCTTCCTCCCAGAGTGTGCGGAGAGGGTCCTTGGGAGGGCCACGGGGTTGGCTGGGGACCTTCCATCAGTAAAGTGGGTCCCGACTGACCTAACAAGATGAGAATGGGACCTGGGCTCTCTCAGGCTCCAAAGGCCTTAGAGAAGAGGTCACCTTTCTCCCCCAGAGCCTCACCCAGGGCCAAGAAACCCTATCCCAGGAAGACGTCCCCAGCCCCCGCCCCTCCCCAGCCAATGGAGGTTGATGGTCTTCATTCTTGCCCTGCAGCCAACCACAACCGCTTCAACCCTCAGCAGTCCTCCACTTACCAGGCCACCAGCCAGACAGTCTCCATTGCCTACGGCACTGGCAGCATGACGGGCATCCTCGGATACGACACCGTCCAGGTGAGTGCCTGCCGCCAGGCTTCCGGGAACTTGAACACCACAGTGCATCTCCCAGAACAAGCTCACGCTTGAGTCTCAGTGGTCATGAAAGTAGCCTGACTGGGAGGTGGTGGGGAAGGGGGTGGAGAAGTGGCAGAGATGTCACAAACATTTCTAGGTGGGGTGGAAGTAGGTAAGGGGGGGGACCTGGAGCCAAAAGCCAGCCTCAGCCCCATCCACACTGGATGCTCTGGAGGGGTTGGGGAGAAGGTCTGTAAGGGCTGGGTTCCCTGTTAGCATCTCCTGCTGATCACATGGTTCATATCCTGAACCCTACAAGCCCAAAATCCTAACATAAGAGAGAAATGGAGGGACCAGCAGTTGGTGTAATGGCTATGTCGCTGGACTCCCACGTAGTCAACCGCGGTTCGAGTCCTGGACCTGGTGGCTTAAACTCACACCAGGCACATGTCCGTGCGTGCCCAAGATCCCAAGAGGATAATGGAGGAGAAGGGATTGCAGCATGGCCATCCCCTCTGGGGGGTGATTTCTCACTTTCTGTCTCTCTGTCTCTCTCTGTCTTTCTGGTGGATCCTCCTCCCACTGTCAGCCCTCCTGAGTCAGAAAAGCTCCAAAGCACCCCCTTCCGAGCATGGCAAGGGTCAAGAGCCCCAAGTACCTGGTCTTGCTTCTGTTCATCAGAAACACAAACACACGGTAGCCATTTGCTCTGCTGCAAAATCTCACCCCGAGTCACAGGCTGGGGCCACCTGGAGACTAGCTACACTGCTTCCTCCAGGGCAATGGCAGTCACGGGCGGGGGCCACCGGGAGACTAGCCACACTGCTTCCTCCAGGGCAATGGCAGCATCCCAGGAGGTGGCCCTCTCCCCTCCTGATGCCCCGGAAGCCAATCGAGTCCTTTGCAGAAGCATCTGAGTGGCTCTGGGCCCAGGGCTGGTGCCTGGCAGTGCTTGTGAACACGAGCTGGTGGTGACTGTCATCTTGATGTGTCTACTCAGGTCGGAGGGATCGCCGACACCAACCAGATCTTTGGTCTGAGTGAGACAGAGCCTGGCTCCTTCCTGTACTATTCCCCCTTCGATGGCATCCTGGGTCTGGCTTACCCCAACATCGCCTCCTCTGGGGCCACGCCCGTCTTCGACAACATGTGGAACCAGGGCCTGGTTTCCCAGGACCTCTTCTCCGTCTACCTGAGCTCGTAAGTCAGGGACGAGGGGCCTGCCCTGGAGGGGTTACAGTCACTGGGACAGCAGGGAGCTGTCCAGGGCAGGGTTGGTGGAGAGGGTCTTGGAAAGCAAGGGATTTGGAAAGACCATCTGGAAGGCAGGAGAGAGAAGCGTACTGTGCAGAGTAACGTGCCAAATCCCCGACCAACTGTCTCCATCCCATCTTGGCCACCAGTGTGATCTTCATCACTCTGATTGACGTAACTCAAATGTCATCGGCCATTTGCCTTCCTGCATAAGTTCTCTCACCCTCGGCCCCAACTGACACTGTTTACTGAGAATCCACTTAAAATAGGGATCAAAATTTCAGAGCAAAAAAAAATGAGATTTCACTGGCAGGGTGAGCTGGTGACATGGTGGTTAAGGTGGATCCCAATGGCTGATCACATGGTTCAAATCCTGAACCCTACAAGCCTAAAATCCCAACATAAGAGAGAAATGGAGGGGCCAACAGTTGGTGTAATGGCTATGTCACTGGACTCCCATGTAGTCAACTGCAGCTCGAGTCTCAGACCCGGTGGCTTAAACTCATACCAGGCACGTGTCCGTGCATGCCCAAGATCCCAAGAGGAGAATGGAGGAGAAGGGATTGCAGCGTGACCATCCCCTCTGGGGGATGATTTCTCGCTTTCTGTCTCTCTGTCTCTCTCTGTCTGTCTGGTGAGCACACGCACCCTATAGCAAAAGAGGGCCCTTTTATCATTTCTTCCTCTAGGCCATTTCATATTCGAGTTGGTTCATAAACATAATCTGCCTTTGTGAGTACCTACATATTGGGTCATCAGAAAAGTCATGGCGTGTTTATGCATGTCATGACCTTCGTGCCGACCCAAGAGTTCACATGGGATCATGTCATCTCTCCAACTCGAGTTGCCTTTCTCAGTCCCAGCGGTACTGACATTTGGGACCAGATCATTCCTTGTCAGGGGCTGTCTCATATATCAAAGGTTGCTTAGCAGCACCCCTGGCTTCTACCCACGATGGCCCAGTAGCACCCTGTATCCCACCAGTCATGACCATCAAAAATGTGTCCAGAATTTGACAACTATCCCCTGGGAGCAAAACTCCCCTTGGCCAAGAAACAGCATCTGCACCATCAAGTCCTGAAGAACCAGCGCTATCGTGCAGTCACGTCTCTGTGGTCCCCACGGCAACTTACGACTACCATGGTAGAAACCATACACTTTGGAACCCAAAAGACCTGAGTTCTCATCTTGGTTCTGCCATTTTCTGGTCAAATGACCTTGGGTAAGGTGTCTCACCTCTCTGAGCCACGATGTTGTCATCATAACGTGGAAATAATAATAATAGCAACCACCACGTGGGGCTTGGTGTAAAATGAGAAGACAGTGCGTCTGTCACACACTCACACAACTCCAGGCAAGGGTCACTCGTAGGATGGGCACACCGGACATCCTGACGTCTTGCATCACTTTCCACAGCAATGACGAGAGTGGCAGCGTGGTGATATTTGGTGGCATCGATTCTTCCTACTACACCGGAAGTCTGAACTGGGTGCCTCTTTCTGCCGAGGGTTACTGGCAGATCACTGTGGACAGGTGAGACCACCACGGATGGGCAGCGTCTGGGCATGGCCCAGGATCTCATTTCTGCATGGACCCATAGTTAACTAGATTTCCAAAATCCCCCTAGCTAATCTAGTTAATCTAGTTAACCCATAGTTAACGAGATTTCCAACAGCCAGCGTGGAGGAACGTACTCCAGGAAGAAGCTGGAGTTGGTTAAGCCAGAGAGACCCTGAGAAAGAGGTCTCACTGGAGGGGAAGGGAATTGCTATCTGGAAACCCCAGGCCCCTACCAGGCTGGGACAGCCACTTTCCTTCTGGTCAAGCAAGCAGGACAATCCCCGAGCATCTCTGCGGAGATGGGGAGGGCCAAAAGTCAAGCAATTGTCTCAGGCCATTCCTTTAGGCTGTTTCCTTCAGAGCTTGCCTCTGCCCTGCTGTAGCCTCATTCATTCCCCAGTTTTCTTCCCCCACAAGCCTGCTGGGGTGTCCAACTATGCAGGGATGAGAGTTCCCCAGGACATAAAATTAAGTACTAAAACTGGGACAATCCCAGGCAAGCCAGGTCCCCCCATGTCTGCGCAACCTTGCTAAAACTTCATCGGTTCCTCCAACTCCTGCCCCTGTTCCTTTGTCTCCATCACTCCCCACATGCTGTCCCCACTACCCATGTCTCCCTCCAGCTCTTCATTTGCCTGGCCTCCTTGGGGTGTTTGCTCCCCTTGACACCTTCCCTGGGTGTTCCCAACCCCTCATTGTGTTTCTGTCACTCTGCTGCGTGCCCCGCCCATCCTGCCCTCCTCTGTCAGGCTCATCTTTCCAGCTGGAGTAGGAGCTCTCTGCGGCCAGCTCTGTTGCTGTCCTGTTTAGCTTTGCATCTCCCATGCCTGGCACAGAGCAGGCACTCAGTAAATATTTGTTGGATAAGTGAATGCAAGAATCAAGCGCATGAATGAGAGAAACTGGAATTTCATGTATTGGCCAATGGATGGGGGAAGGACCATCTGTGATCACCTGGGTCTTCTCTGGGAAGCTTTAGCTCTTGGAGACTCAGGGGACCCTTCTTTGCATCTCACCCTCAGCATCACCATGAACGGACAGCCCATCGCCTGCAGTGGGAGCTGCCAGGCCATTGTTGACACTGGCACCTCTCTGCTGTCTGGCCCAACCAACGCCATTGCCAACATCCAGAGCTACATCGGAGCCAGCCAGAACTCCAACGGCGAGGTACATCTAGCCTTGACTGCCTGCCCGAGACTCAGGTGGTGGGTATGCCATGCAGAAGGACTGAGAATTTTTCTAACCTACCACCCTAAAAAAACCCCCTCACTCTTCCCAGATGGTGATCAGCTGCTCCGCCATCAACAACCTGCCCGACATTGTCTTCACCATCAATGGCGTCCAGTACCCCCTGCCCCCCAGTGCCTACATCCTGCAGGTAAGGGGGCTCTGGGCACCACCTAGAGGAATCCACACAGAATGTGGTGCATGGTCCCAAGGGCAAGTGCACTCTGTCAGCCGAAGCCAATAGGCAAACTGACGTCTGTCTGGACAGCCTCCAGAGAAAAAGAATATATTGAAAATGGTGCACAGGGACCAGCAGATGGTGTAATGGTTACATCACTGGACTCCCACGTAGTCGACCATGGTTCGAGTCTCAGACCTGGTAGCCTAAAACTCATGCCAGGCACATATGCATGCATGCTCAAGATCCCAATAGGAGAATGGAGGAAAAAGAGATTGCAGTGTGACCGTCACTCTGAGGGGGTGATTTCTCACTTTCTGTCTCTGTTGTCTTTGTCTCTCAGGCGAGTGCATGCAAAAATCCCTCTCAAAAAAAGAAAATGATGCATGAATGAAAAGTCTGAATGCAGTTCCCCCACCCCCAGAAAAAGGGAGGCAAAAGATAATGGCAGAAAAAGAAGAGTCTACTGGGGCACCTGGGTGCAAGCCCTGAGCCTCGATTACTAGCAGATCCATCTTGAGCACCGTCTCTCAGTCTCTCATTTACACACTAGAGGGGACAGCTTTCCCCACCCTCAGAGTGGGGAGAGGGTAATCAAGTGAGATGGGCCACAGCAGAGCTACCGAGGGTTGGGCAAATGGAAAGCCTCACCTCCATCGGTTCGGGGCCCATGACAGTCCTACCACCTCTACTCGATTCTGGTTGACTTAGGAGGGGTGGGGCCTGAGCAATGGGGATGGGCCTGGGGAGGGGTAAATCTCCCCACGTGGTTTTAATGTGCGGCCAAGGTCGCTGCAGTGACCGAGTGACCTACTGAAGGGAAAGGGCTGACAGCTGGTCTAATGTGCCCCTGAACGGGGTCAGAATACTGAGGAACGGCTGCGTCATCCGTTTCCAAAATCCTTCCTGGCAGCTGAGTTGTCCCCAAGCCCCTTAGCTCCAATGCTGATGTCAGGGTTCACGTGTCTGCCAGCAACACCAGATAATGTCCAGCAATTCGTGGAGAGCAGCAGTGCAGTGAACGGCTTAGACAGTCAGACCCCAGGCCAAGAACGGCCCAGGCCCTGGGCACAGAGCCAGGAAGCTCCTCTTCCCGTGTGCCTTGCAGCCAGACCATGGCACCCCGGATGCTTGTCACTGCTGAGCCCATGTCCCATCTCTGATTGCATTCTCCTTTTCTCCAGAGCCAGGAGGGCTGCACCAGTGGCTTCCAGGGCATGAACATCCCCACAGCCTCCGGAGAGCTCTGGATCCTGGGCGACGTCTTCATCCGCCAGTACTACGCCGTCTTTGACAGAGCTAACAACCAGGTCGGCCTGGCTCCCGTGGCGTAAGCCTGCACCTCTCCAGCCGCCTCCCAGGAAGATGTGACCTCAGCGCTGAGCCCACTGTAGATGTATATAATTCTCCTGATTGTTCTTCCTGTGAGACTGCGGAGGTGGCCTCTTAACCCCAGTCCCTGTCATTTCAATGATACAGAATAAACACAACCTACCGAAAATATTCACGGGGCCACTCCTTTTTACTGGTATTTCTTCCTCACGTCACTCGGCTCAGAACACCAGGGCAGGGGACCAGAAATGACCGCGTGCACTTGGACAGCATCAAACACAGTCAATCGGCAGCAGGCACATCATAAAAGAGCCAGAAAGACAAATGGGCCCCACCAGGTCATGCTGGAAACAGACTTGGGGACTAAAACTACTGGCCTCCTTGTCTCGTCATAGAATAGGGCATCTAAGTCTAGGTTGAGGCAGACGATAGATGTCTGTTCCCCAAGTCAGTAAGAGCAAAGGAAAGCGGTCCAGGGGGGTGGCCGCTGCTCGTGGTGTTCCAAAGTAGGCAGGACAAGGTGATGTCTGTGGGACATGCACGGGAGAGGTGACAGAAACTGACACCCCGCAACTTTCCAGGCTGCATTGTCACAGCTAACAAGGACCTCCCAAGACTCCAGTTCCACTAAGCCGAGCTGCTTCCCCATCGTAATTAGAAGAAGAAGGTTTGCATTTCCTGAGTCAAGGTTGCAAGAGGGAAGTGAGCATGCTCATTAGCCTGTGCACTCTGGAAAGGTTAACGGGAAATAGGGCAGCGTTTCTCAGCGTGGGCTCTGTAACAAAAGGTCCGGTGAAAAACATGGTTTCGAAATATTTATGGAACATACTTTTTATTTTTTAGTTGTGTTATATGGTATGTGTGCTTGCCGGAAACAGAGAGTGAGAGGAAAAATGAGAAATCACCCCCCAGGAGGCTGACCATGCCACAATCCCTTCTCCACCATTTGCCTCTCAAGATTCTAAACATGCATGTACACTCACCCAGCATGATTCTCAAGCCGCTGGCTCTGGGACTTGAACCACAAAGTTTGCATGTGGGATCCAGCACCGTAATCTCCATGCCACTTACTGACCCAGAGTTTTTTGGTTTTAGTTTTATTATAGGGACTCACCCTAGACATAGGGATGGGAGAAGTGAGAAATCACCCCCTGGGGGGGCAGTTCATATCACAGTCCCTTCTCCTCCATTGTCCTTTCAGGATTCTGGGCAAGTACACACATGCACCCAGTGTGATTTTCAAGCCACGGGTCTGGGACTCGAACCTTGAGGTCAGTCATGTGGGATCCAGCATCTTGACCCCTATGCCACCTGCTGGCTCCAGAACGGACTACATTCTCTCAGGTCTTTCTCGAAGATTCACAAGCATGGTTCCCCATTAAAGGTCAAAAGTCCTACCGCGAAGTGAGTTGTTCCACTTCCCACAGCTTAGTTAGAGCAAACCTAGTAACCCTGCTAAGCTTACCAGGCCTGTGCTCCTTGACACATACTTTAGAAAGATCGCCACAGCTCCCGCCTCAGCCAACAGCTCCCGCCTCAGCCAACAGCAGACCCAGGCTGCGAGCTGGAGTCCCGGGCCCAAGGACTAAGCTCTCAGGTTTGGAAGGAGATCTGCCACCCAGTGTCCTGGTCTCCTCAGTTTCACACTTACCCTCTCTGGCCCGTTTCCCACAGCTCAACAACCTTTTGAAATACAGATGTCATCACCTTCCTCCCTAGCTCAGAACTCAAGCCTTTCATTTACATATGGAATAAAACATCAAACCTTTGGTGACTTCCAGGCCCGGCGTTCTCTGGCCCCCTGGGTAGCTGCCCTGCTGCACCATGATCCTCCTTACCCTGAGCTCCCTCCATCTGGCCTTGTCCCACCTCTACCAACAGCCCAAGTTCTTTCCCACCCTCAGACTTTTTTTTTTTTTTTTTTTGAGAGGTTTTTCACTATAGGGCAAAAGAGACAGAGAGACAGAAAGCGAGAAATCACCCCCCAGGGGGGATGGCCACGCCGCAATCGCTTCTCCTCCATTCTCTTCTCGGGATCTTGGGCACGCATCCACACGCGCGCGGCATGAGTTTAAGCCGCCGGGTCTGGAACTCGAACCACAGTCGACTACATGGGAGTCCAGTGACATAGCCATTACGCTAACTGCTGGTCTCCCACCCTCAGACTTTTGCAAGTATGTTCCCTCTGCCTGGGTTGCTTCTCCCTTTTCCTTGACCTGCTAACCTCCAGTGCCTGGAGATGTCAGCCTCAATGCCACTTCCCCATGGAGCCTTCCCTGACCACTCCTGGGGCCAGCTCTCCTTGCCCTTGAGGCACTTGCACGACTGTCATCACGTATTCTGTGAGAGTTTCAGACCCACAAGGGCAGTGACTTTTACTATCAACACCCCAGCAGCAAGAGCAGGTCCTGGCACATAGCAGGTGCTTGGTAAATACTTGTTGAATGACTGGTTAACTAGGAGAAATGTTTTAAAAGGAAACAACTGGGACCAGCAGAGGGCATAATGGTTACGTCACTGGAGTCCCACATAGTTGACTGCAGTTCGAGTTCCAAACCCGGTGGCTTAAAACTCATGCCATGTGCATGTGTGCCCCAAGTCCAAAACGAAGGGAGAAGGGATTGCGGCGTGGCCATCGCCCTTTTGAGCTCAGATGAACATGTGCAATGCTGACTGCCTCCAGCCCAGGCTTTTCCCCCTTCCCTCTCACTTGGTGAGGTTCTTCTGCTGGAGTTCCAGAATGGTTGACAGTACATTCGCTGCGGAGCTGTGACCCTTACCATAGTCTGGGTTTCCCCAGAGGCAGACCCGGAGGTAAGTGCTGGGTGAGGGTCAAGGGAAGCGCAATCAAGGTGCCTCAGGGAGCGGATTACTGCTATGGCCAAATGGCGCTGTCTCTCTCTCTTTTTTTTAATAAAAAAAAAAAAGAATAACGATTTTACTTAATTTGCAGCCACCCCTCACTTCAGCAGGCCCTTCTTCCTGAGCTAGGGTGTGGGCAAGGCCAGAGAAGGGCTATGTAGAAGGTGGTCTCGGCAGTGTGGGCGGGGCCAGGCGCTGGGCCTGTGGCCTTCAGGGGTTTCCATGGTAGCCAGTGATGACCTGGTGACAGTGTAGCTCTGTCCAGGCTGTCTCACTTCTCTATCCAGGAGCCTCTTCCCTCCACAACTGATGGCCTTGCCCTCTCTCCATCCGTCATGGGCACTGCTGCACCCTCATCAGAGCAGAGGGATGGATCCTGCCAGATGTCGAGGTTGGCCGGTGGCTCCTGGCTGTCACCTGAGGGAACTGCAGCCAGCTGCCTCACCCAAGCACAGGTACTCTCCTGGGGCATCCCAGACAGAATGCCCGGTTGCCATGGGAGCATGAGCCCTGTTCCCCTGCCTCGACTCAGGAGCACTCTGAAGGGCTAGCCTGGTCTTAGGAGCTCCCCACAGAGGTTGACTACGCTGAGGACGGCACCACAGGGCACCCTCCCTGCTTCCCTTCCTCCTGCTCCAGATGTCAGTGCCTAAGACTTGTCCCCAAAACCTGCCAGCACCATCACCGCCAAGTTCCCGTCCAAGGAAACCTACTGGTGAAACCCTCTCCAGCCGCCTATTCCCTCTAACTTTAGAAGTCTCCCAAGGGCCTGCAGGTGGCTTGGTGGCGCTGGATCCCACATGGCTGACTGGGCAGTTGAGTCCTGGACTCAGCAGCTTGACAAACACATGGGGGCACCTGTGTGTGTGTGTGTGTGTGTGTGTGTGTGTGTGTGTGCCCAAATCCCAAGGGAACAGAGAAGGGACAGTAGTGTGGCCATCCCTCAGGGGGTGCTCTCTCTCTCTCTCTTGTGTCTCTCTGGTGAGTGCACATGCCCCAGGACAAGCAAACCGAAAAAGAGGAAAACAATCTCCAATGTCAAAGGCCACCAGGGGCTCACAGGAGAGCCCTCCCCTACCCAGCCCCAGCTGGGTGCCAGCTTTGTCCCAGACAGGGGAGTCAAGGAAGAGAGTTCACAGACCACCTGTGGGCTTGAGGTGATGCTTCCCCCCTTCCCACAGATGAGAAGCCAATGAGCAGGGAGCCTGAGAAAGCCGAGACAACCTTTAATCAGGAAAGCCCAGGCAAGGATGTGTGTGGACTGGGATCCCAGCTGGATCCCAGCCTTCTCCTCTCTCCCCGTCCACAAGGAGACAGCTTGTCGGCAGCCCTGACCTTTCTTGAAAGACCAAGGATGAGCTGGCCCGGTGGCTCTGCCAGGAGTCTGTGGTGTGACCCAGCGGAAGGCAGCACGGAACACGGGGATGCTGATTTCTTACAGTGCTTTCCAGATGCTTCTTAGGATCAAGGTTCTATCCAGCCTTGGGGTTTCCCACCACAGCCAGGAGGCCTGCAGGTATAAGCCCCCGGCATCACCTCCCAGGTGCACCCTGAGCCACCCTCCACGCTCCCTGGGCCACCGGCCAAGGTTCTGTCTGGTCTCCAGCAGGGGTCTGCTTACACGATGGACTCTTCCTCCCTTGAGGTCCCTGTCGTGAGCTGCTGGGGGCTGGGTCCAGAGGTGGCAGTATTAGCTGCCAAAAGTCTGGAGGTGGTGGGGGAGAGTCTGCGAGGCCTGAGGAGAGGGATGGGGGTCGCTGAGGGGCCGGGGTCCGTTGCAGAAAGTGCTGAAGTTTCAGGCAGGAGCGTGGCAGGCAGAGAAGGCCACCTGGATGCTGTCCTGGTCCCAGAGGCTGAGAAGGAGCGCTCTGGAGTAACAGGAGGAGGCTGAGAAGCCCCTGATGGGGCTGGAGGTAGAGTGGAGGCTCCCGGAGGGATTGAAGACCCTGGTGAGAGTTGAGGGAGCTGGGAGGCCCCAGGCTCCCCTGGAAAAGTATCCCATGGCCCCAAAGGGGGTGAGGGTGAGGCCTGGACTCCTGAGGAGCTTGTAGGCAAAGGCTGGATGTGAGACGAGTTCCTTCGTAAGAGGAGCTGGAGAAGGAGGAGCACTGGCCTTGGAGCGGGGGCTGCTGGAGGCCCGGGGCAGGAGCTGCAGTTGACAACGGGCTCGAGGTCTCCGCGGGGGCTCCGAGCAGCTTTGCTGAACACCACGTCTCCAGGGGAGAGCCCTTGCCTTTCTTCCAGAGGAAATGGGGAATCTGGAGGGATGGGAAGACGAGGTGCACAGTGGTTCTCCCAGTGGCTGAGGTGGCTCTGGGACAAGCTGCGCTGGGGCTCGCACACCCGGTGAGACCCAGCAAGCCAGAGGGAGGCCGTTCACCCAAAGTGGCTCTGCCGGGTGTTGGTGTGTAAGGCACATATCTGCCCTGAGCCCCATTTCCTCATCTGTAAAATGGGCATCTTAACGATGACTGAGAACCAAATGATGGTCTCAGCCCCAGTGTGTGGACTTTGGGTAATAAAGACGCACCAAGGTGGGCTCATCAGTTGTAACGAACATAGCCCTCTGGTGGGGGCTGTCAATAGTGGGGAGGACATGGGTGAGCAAAGTCAGGGAATGGATGAGAACTCTGCACTTTCCTATGCTTGGAACCTAAAGCTGTTCTTAAAAATTAAGTCTTGAGGGGCCAGAAAGTGGTGTGGTGGTTAAGGTGCTGGAATTCCCACATGGCTGACCATGGTTTGAGTCCCGGACCTGGCAGCTTGCTTTCTCTCTCTGTCTCGCTCTTTCTCTCTCTCTTGGTCTTTCTCTGGCAAAACTCATGTGAAAATAATAATAATAATAATAAATAAAGTCAAATAAAATAATTTTAAAAAATTAAGTCTTGAGGGACTAACAACATAATGCTTATGTCACTGGGCTCCCACATAGTCGGCTGTGGTTGAGTCCGGGACCTGGTGGCTTAAAATTCATGCTGGGCATGTGCGTGTGCATGCCCAAACTCCTGAGAGAATGGAGGAGAAGGGATTGCGGTGTGGCCATCCTCCCAGGGTGTGATTTCTTGCTTTCTGTTTCTCTGTCTCTCAGGCAAGAGCACGTGCCCTACAACAAAAATCTCTCTTAAAAAAAAATTAAGGGACCAGCAGTTGGCGTAATGGCTATGTCACTGGACTCCCATGCAGTCGACCGCAGATCAAGTCCTGAACCCAGTGGCTTAAACTCATGCCGGGCATGTGTGCGTGTGTGCCCAAGATCCTTAGAGGAAAATGGAGGAGAAAGGATTGTGGTGTGGCCATCCCCCGGGCTGGGGAGTTATTTCTTGCTTTCTGTTTCTCTGTCTCTCTCTGTCTTTCTGGCGAGCGCATGCGCTCTATAGCAAAAACCTCTCAATAAATAAATAAATAAAGTCTTGGGCAAGCCTATGGCGCAATGGTTATGGCAGCTGGATCCCACATTGTTCACTGTGCAGGTTGAGTCCTAGACCCGGTGGCTTACAAATCACATGGGGTTGGGAGTAACGAGCAGATGGCAAAATGGTTACGTCGCTGGACTCCCATGTAGTTGACTGCAGTTAGAGTCCTGGACCCGGTGGCTTAAAATTCACACGGGGTATATATGTGTGCATGCCCAAAATTCCAAGAGGAGAATAGAGAAGAGATTGCAGCATGGCCATCCTCCCTAGCAGGTAATTTCTTGCTTTATGTTTCTCTGTCTCTCTGACAGGTGTGTGCCCTATAGCAAAAATCTCTCTTAAAAGAAAAAAAAAATCACACTGGGCATGTATGTGTCTGTGTCCAAAATCTTGAGAGGAGAATGGAGGGCAAAGGACTGTGGTATGGCCATCCACCATAGGGGAGGTGACTTCTCTCCTTTTCTCTCCCCAAAGAGTGCTTATGCCCTATAGCAAATATTAAAAATAAATAAATAAATAAAGTGCACATTGGAGAATAATATGAATCACACCTTAAGAAAGCTGTTGGAGGGACCAGCAGTTAGCGTAATGGCTATGTCGCTGGACTCCCACGTAGTCGACCACGGTTCGAGTCCCGGACCTGGTGGCTTAAACTCACGCCGGGCGCGTGTGCGTGCGTGCCCAAGATCCCGATAGGAGAATGGAGAAGGGATTGCGGCGTGGCCATCCCCCCTGGGGGGTGATTTCTCGCATTCTGTCTCTCTGTCTCTGTCTGGCGAGCGCACGTGCCCTATAGCAAAAATCTCTCAAAAAAAAAAAAAAAAGAAAGCTGTTGGGGGCCACCAAGTGGCGTGGTGGTTAAGGGAACTAAACCCCCACAATGACCGACCACGGTTCGAGTCCCAGACCTGGTGGCTTGCTTTCTTATTTTCTCTCTCTCTCTCTGTCCCTCTCTGATCAACTTACAAACAGATGCATAAATAAATAAAGTTCAATAAAATAATTCTTAAAAAGGAAAGAAAAAAGCCATTGTAGTTTCTCAAAAATCATCAGAAAAAAAATTCATATTCTATCCTATAAAAAGATTTTCTGGGAACCAGCAGTTAGTATAATGGCTATGTCGCTGGACTCCCACGTAGTCGACCGCGGTTCAAGTCCCGGACCCGGTGGCTTAAAAAACTCATGCCGGGCGCATGTGCGTGTGCATGCGTGCCCAAGATCCTGAGAGGAGAATGGAGGAGAAGGGATTATGGCGTGGCCATCCCCCCTGGGGGGTGATTTCTCACTTCCTGTCTGTTTGTCTGTCTGTCTGGCGAGCGCACATGCCCTATAGCAAAAACCTCTCCAAGAAAAAAAACACAAAATAGGAAACAGCAGATAGCAGCATAGTGGCTACTTTGCTGGACTCTCACATAGTTGATCACAGTTCAAGTGCCGGACCTGGCAGCTTAAAATTCACGCCAGGCATGTCCAAAATCCCGAGAGGAGAATGGAGAAGGGATTGTGGCATGGCCATCCCCCCGGGGGAAGGGTGATTTCTCATTTTCTATCTCTCTGTCTCTGTCTTTGCAGTGACTGCACTCTCCCTATAACAAAAATCTCTCTAAAAACAAATAAATAAATAAATAAACGAACAAAATAAGGCACATGAATGGTAATTTATAAACATGGTGCATTGAAACAATTAAAACTATAAACAGATAGTGAAGAATTGGTGGAAATACAGGGATCAGTCACATGGGTTTCCTCTTTCTTCAGGACCCCCATCTGTGTGATGAGAATTATCACATCACTCCCAGTGCCCAGTGACTCAGTTACGCCACCACACAGTTTAAAGAGACTCACAAGAATTAGATAAAAAGTTGTCCAACCAGGCTGGTCAAGGGTGTGGAGGTTAAAGTGGTTGGATCCTACACGGCTGACTGCATGATTTGAGTCCCAGACACAGTGGCTTGTAAAGCATGCTGTGCATATGCGTGTACATGCCCCAAATCCTGAGTATGGAGGAGAAGGGATTGTGGTGTGGCCATCCCCTTAGGTGGGTGATTTCTCACTCTCTCTCTCTCTCTTTCTCTGTCTCTCTGGCAAGTGCACACAACCTCTGGCAACATTTTTTTAAAAGCTTGACCAGGGCCAGCAGATGGAGTGGTAGTTAAGGTACTGGCCTCTCACATGGCCAACCACAGTTCGAGTCCTGGACCTGGCAACTTGAAAATCACACCAGATGTGTGTGCATGTGTGCCCAAAATCCTGAGAGGAGAACGGAGAAGGGATTGTGGCGTGGCCACACCTGTAGGGTGATTTCTCATTTTCCCTTTCAATGTCTGTCTGTTTCTCTCCAGCAAGTGCATGCACCCTATGGCAATACCTTAAAAAAAGTTGTCTTAACAAAAAATGTTGTCTCACCAAACATTTTCCACAGTAGATCCATTCTGGGAAGGAAGGGAGGAAAGAAAGAAAGAAAAGACAGACCAACGTAAATGTCACCCAAGAAGGCAGAAGTAGGTAAACGAGCAAAAGAGATTGAGAGCTTTTTCAGGCTGGGTGTGAGCCACGTCAGTACTTCGAAACTGTCATGGTAGGTGATCTTGTATATTAGTGACAACTCTGCATGAGGATCCTCAGGGACAGACACTGACAGGGTGAAAAGATGAGGCCATGGGAACCAGCAGTTAGCGTAATGGCTATGTTGCTGGACTACCACATAGTTGACTGCGGTTCGCATCCCGGACCCGGTGGCTTAAAACTCACTCTGGGCACGTGTGCGTGCGTGCCCAAGATCCTGAGAGGAGAATGGAGGAGAAGGGATTGCGGAGTGACCATCCCACCTGGGGGGTGATTTCTCGCTTTCTGTCTCTCTGTCTCTCTCTGTCTGTCTGGCGAGCGCACATGCCCTATAGCAAAAATCTCTCAAAAAAAAAAAAAAAGATGAGGCCATACTTTTCAGGAATCAATACCACGTCATATCTAGAAGCATAGACAGGGCTCAAATCCAGGCCCTCCCATCCATCAGCTATGTGACCTTGGGTACATCGGTCACCTCTCTGTGCCTGTTTCCTCATCTGGCAAAAGGGGAGGATGACAGTGCCTGCCTCCAAGAGCTGCTGTGAAGAGGGGCATAGACATACGAAGTGCCCTACCCGGGACGGGCCCTCGGTGCACGGTGGCACCCGCTCTCCCGCAATGCCCATTTAGCTCCTAAGCTGTAGCTGAAAGCAAAGGGGGGGCTGGCCTGTCACAGAGCTCACTCTTCCACAGGGGCCTGTCACCAAGTGCAGGAGCTGAGCTGTGCAGGAAAGGTGAGCAACGACAGCCAAGGGATGGCAGGGCAGAAATGCAACTCTGCGACGCTGGTCCCCACAAGAAGTTTCCAAGTTCGCATCCAGAGACCTCTCTGAACACACACGAGGCACTTGCCCACTGCACAGGGCTGGCCGAGGAGGCGGGTAGAGCTCAGTTGTGAGGTTTCTGCTGAGGTCTCTCTCTCTTTCTCCCTCATGGAAGAAAATAGATACACTTTTAAAAATATATGAAAGTAGATTAACTAAAGAAAGAAAGCAGAGGAAGAGACTAAGGAAGGAGATAATGAAGAAGGAAAAGAACAGTCCAAATTGGGTTGTCGGAAAAGTCATAACGTCTTTTGCATAGGAACACATGTGATTACTTTTCTTTATTTTTTTTCTTTTTTTGGGTGGGGAGAGAGGTTTTTGCTGTAGGGCGCATGCGCTCACCAGAAAGACAGAGAGAGACAGAGAGACAGAAAGCGAGAAATCACCCCCCGGGGGGGGATGGCCACGCCGCAATCCCCTCTCCTCCATTCTCCTCTCGGGATCTTGGGCACACATGCACATGTGCCTGGTGTGAGTTTAAGCCACCGCATCTGACTCGAACAGTGGTCTGCTACATGGGAGTCCAGTGACATAGCCATTACGCTAACCGCTGGTCCGCACGTAATGACTTTCCTAACAACCCAGTAAGTAAACAAACACATGCTAGATGGGGTTCCCAAGCCCCGGCATGGCTATGCAGCCTTGAGCACACCACTCTGCTTCTCTGAGCCTGCGCTTCTCACATGCAGACCTTCACAAGTTCTACACTTCTAGAAAGAGGGAAGTGGAAGAAGACGATGATGAAACTGCAGGACCCTGAGGCCTGCTTACCTGGGCAGGAGGAGCAGCAGTCTCCAGGGGTCAAGGGGTCAGGGCAGGCCAGCTGGCAAGGCACCTTCTCACAACTCACTTCTCCCAGCTGGGGAAGCAAAAGGACAGCCATGAGGAAGCCCAGAGCATCTATGCCTGTGCTGAGCGGTGTCTTGTACCAGCAGCAGGACCCACGGCAAGGTCCTGGCACACAGTCTGCAAGGCCGGGGCCCTCAGCTGGACAACAGGTCAAACTACCACAGCAGGCCACCTTAAGGAAACTGCTTCTCCCTTGGCAAAGAGGCAGGAGACATCCAAGCCAAAGGTGCCGGGCAGTTAATTAAAGGTGAAGGACAGCAGGAGGAAGATGGACTTACATGGGCTAAGGAGCTCCATGTTTGGCAAAGGGACAAAAGGCAAGAAGCAGCCCCTGCCGGGGGGCTCCCAGGCCCAGCTAACCTGGCACGTGCACTGGGTACAGGGCTCGTCGTCCAAGGTGAACACCTGGCCATTCACCACCTTCCGTCCCTCATAGTTGCAGTCTGCAGAAACAGGAGACGGGGACCGTGAGAGCCGAGCCCACCCCGGGAGCCTCGGACATGGGGCACGGGTCCCACTCACCTCGGCACACCGGGCAGCACTCCCCATCAGGGTGGAAAGGGTAGGTGCAGGTGATGGGGCAGTCCACAGGTGAGCAGGCCACTGAGCCCAGCTGCAGGACACAGAAGACGCACAGGCCCTTCACTCGGGCAGCTGACGGGACACTCAGGAAGCACAGGTCATATAGCCCCCAGTACCCATCAGAGCAGCCAATGTCCCCGGACATGTCCATGAGGGTTGGAGGGGGGCGTTTATTCAGCTAGGTCCATCTTCCCACCAGATCATGAACCTGGGGCCTGTTACCAAGTGCATGAACTGAGCTGCCGAGGAAGGGTGAGCAACACCCAGGAGCTGGCTCCTCGGAGCATGCGGCTGGGAACCAGTGAGGCCACATGCAGGGGGTCATGCAAAGGCCACAGGCATGTTTGCCCTGAGTTACTCAATCTCCCTGTAGACATGTTCCTTTCAGTCCGGATATGCGGGTGCCCGGCAGACACACTGTGGCTGCACCCATATTTTCAGGAGGACAAGTGATAGGGTTTTTCTTTTCATTTCCCAAACACTAAATGATGCTACTCTATAACATGCTTTTTCAAACTAGAGGCAGTATGGCTTAAATATGCATCCCAGAGTCAGAAAACAGGATGATAGTCTAAAAATCAAAACAAAATGCAGGCCAGCCAGTGGTATGGTGGTTAAGGTGGCTGGATCCCACATGGCTGACTACGTAGTTCAAATCCCAGACCCGGGGCAGGGGAGCCTTAAAAAACATGCTGAGCACATGTGTATGCACGCCCAAGAACCAAGAGGAGAAATGGAGAAGGGACCGCAGCATGACCATGTCCCAAGTGAGATGCTTTATCGCTTTCTCTCTCTCTCTCTCTCTCTAT